GAGGTGAAAGAGTGCGTCCCACCTGGCAGGGAAGTGCGTCCTGCCTCATGTGGGACCAAATGGCCCCGGTGAGATGGCTGCAGCTTTGCGACTCTTGTCTCCCAACTTGCCTCCACCCCTCCTGCCCGTTGTTCTGTGCTTTGGTCACCATGGGAGGTGGAAGGTCTGAGAATTGCCCTGCATTTGGCCAGTTCCCTAGTGTCCGTGTTTGGCCAGGTCCCCAGCATCCAGGCTCAGGTGGGGTGGGCTGGGGCTGCTGGGGAGCACTTTGACACAGGGAGGACAAGGACAGGGGTCCTCTGGTGCCCCAGCCTACATGGCTTTGCAGGTGCAGCCTCTAATCTGTTGCCGTGGGCTGGTGTCCCAGGCCCCTGATGAGATGGTTAAGTAGAATCCGTGGGGCAGTGGAGGACGTGCCTTTCCCCATGCCTCAGCTCCTGTGCGGTCAGGGGCCGCCAGAGGTGACAGTATGGGGACGTCCCTGGGGCTTGTGGCTGTTGCTTGCAAAGTGGCAGCTATTTGAGAAGTCGGCTCGGTCCCTGCAGGGAGAGTGGAGGTTCACCTCTGAACATCTACTGTTTAAACTAGTCATGTGATTCAGGGCAAGTAGCTTTGCTGTCTCTGGGGAAAGTCTCGTTCTGACGTGGGGTGTGTCATACCCACCTCAAGGAGTAGTGGAGGCAGGACGGGCCCCCGAGAGTGCTTTGTGGAGGGTCTGGAGCACGGGAGGTCCCCTCCCACCCACAGGGAAAAGTGCTGGGAGAAGACCGAGGCAGAGCAAAGTGGCTGGAGGAGGTTCTTTCATTCAGTAATATCACAGAAAAAAGCTTCACTGTCGTGACCCTTCGGGCTCCTGTGGCCCTAGTCTTGGTTAGCGCAGGAAGGAACCAGGCAGGAAGCGGATTAGAAGTACAAGCTTGTGGAAGGCGGGCTAGCCCTTACTTTCTGCGTAGCCCAGAGCACCCGCCGCACCAGCCTTTTATTGAGCCAGAGCAACACAGGTGAGGAGAGTAATTAACAATGACCATGGGCTGAGGGCACGGGCTCCTCCCACAAGGAACTCTGGTGGAGGAATGGCCCGAGGTCCACGCCTCAGCTGCAGATCATCTTGCTGTGATGTTGGCGTTCCCTACACTTCACATTAAAGCAGACTTCCCTGTGAAGCTTTGTTTTTAATCCACTCCAGCCTTTTTTTATTTTTAGGAATTGTGAGAAATGCTGGGTTCGGGGTGTTGGAGCAGGAGACATTCTGTCCAGAGCCACTGGAACGTAAGCCCACCCTGAGGACCACGCTGGACACGGGTGGTCATGGCCCACACTCCGTATCCAGAGGGGGCTCCTTTCCAGGAGAGCTGCTCCCTGGGGTCTCTGAGCCTGGTGACTGGTGCTTGCCATGCTGGAGGGCATCTCGGGGACTGGGCCCATGGCAGCTGAGGGCAGCAGCGTGGCTCAGTGTGGGGATGTGACCGGAAGGTAAAGGTGAAGCCTGAGTTGAGAAGGGCCCGGCTGCTGGCAGAAGGGGGCCGTTGCTGGGCCATTGCTGTGCTTGTGCCCCGACTTCCCTGAGGGTCACACCACTTTCCCAGCATCACAGGCCACATCAGCTGCTTTTCTGATTGGGCTCTACACTGCCACAGCCATAGTTTGTCCTCAAGTTGGCTTTCTCCTCCCCCTGCCCAGGTCCCACTCCAGCTTCCTGGAATCACTCACAGAACTCTCTGGAGCAAAGCCCTGTGTCTGCCAGGCTCTGGGGACTCAGCCAAGACCTGTGCCCGTCTATTTCAAGTAACATCATAAGATGGAACACTCATTTTATGGTGTGGCGATTTTTCTTAGAAAAATTTTAATGACATTGACTTTTAAAGGGTAAAAATAAATTCTGGCCATTTGGTTCCTAAGGATCAGTTAGGTTCCAGAGAAATCAAAGCCAGAGATGTATCCTGGAGACTGTTTCTCTGAAATACTGAGATTTGGTTTGGGAAGATATATTAGAACTAATTGAATGACTTTGGAAACACAATTGTGAAGTTCCCTGCCTACAAATTCTGATGGTTGGTGGTTGGGTGTTTGGGATTAAGGTAAGTGAATTGTGAACATGGACATGGTTCCCTGAAGCCGACTTACAGTGCCCAGCACAGGCTCGGGCTCAGCACTCCCAAGACCCACAGAAAGGCAGCGAGGCACTACCCTCGAGCCTAGCGCAGGGCCCTGTGCGCATAGGAACACAGTCTCCACTCTGTAGATGTGAGAAAATTAGAGCAGTCAACAACTTGGGGTTTAAAAATATTCAAAAAGAACTTTTATTTGGTGGCTGTTACATAGGATAGCGCAGTCAGAGGAGCACAGCTCAGCCAGAGAACAGAGGGTGAGCTCTCCAGGACACTTGGGGCAGAGGGAGCGTCACTGTGGGCTCTATAGAGAACACCTGCAGGTGGTGGTTTGACAAGGCACGGTGAGAAAGCTCTGCTACCACGTGAGCTCTGCCAAACTGAGTGGCTGTGTGTGGCTGTCAGTGTTTCTTGTCTTGTTGAGGTTAGGAGAACGCACATCAGCTGTCTCTGGGAGAAACGGTGCTAGCAAAATGCCGGCTTAGAAAACAGCCAGGTGGTCCCAGGAAGCCTCCTTGACTGGTTCAGCAGCCGCCGTGCTCCTGGCTGAGGCTGGCCTCTCATTTCTATCTGGGTTGCTTTGTGAGTCATCGGGGAAGCGTGGGGACTACACAGGTATAGGAAGCAGTGAGGGGGCCCAGTGGCCCTGCTCAGCGTGGGCTCACAGCACATACTCCGGCTGGGACAGCTTTCTAGCTGGAAGGGCTGAGTGTCCCACCAAGGCTGCACCTCACCCTGCAGCTGACCCGGACAGTGGCCAGTGACGAAGGGGAGAGTGGCCAGCACCCGCTCAGTGACAAAGGGGCTAGCTGGCAGGAGTGCTGGTGCTGGATTCCTTTGGTAGCCTTTTTTTTTTTTAGAAAAAAATACAATCAATTTTTGGGTTGGTATCTGAGGTAACAGGTTAAGAGTAAGCACCATGTGGCTCCAGGCGTGAGCCGGCGGGCAGGCGCGGGCCTCACAGGTTCTTCATGCACACCTGGCAGCGGCTGATGTGCGTCCGGATGAGGCCGGCCTTGAGCGTGTCGGCCGAGGGCGAGCCCTGGAAGCTCTGCTCTGGGATCGTGGTCAGCCAGAAGCTGTACTTGTTAGCATAGTAGTGGCAGGTCCCGCGGCCCCCGTTGCACTCGATGAACGGCGTGGCGCGGAAGTCCTCCAGACAGCTGCCCGGTGACACCAGAGACTGGCCGCCGCCTTCGTCCCCTGCCGCGGTGTGCTGTGCGGAGGGCAAAGACAGAGCAGGTGAGGGCTGGGTGCCTGGGAGGGCTCAGGCTCAGGGTGGGGCCAGCTGCTGGCAGCTTGTTTTAACTGAATAACAGGCCGTGGCCATGTCTGTGCCGATGTGGACCCCACACTCAGCCCCATCCTTAGTGCACCAAGAGGGGCTGGCAAGGGAAACTCAGGACCCCAGGCAGGTGGCACATGGGCTCGAGAGTGAGCCATGCTGTGGGACAGGTCCATCAGCAGGTTCCACGGGTATTGTTGGCTCAGTAAAAACCAGAATCAGTGTCTCCAGTAGATGCTGTTGGCTGGCTCTCGGTAGACGACCAAAGACAAGCATCCACCCCATCATCATTCAAACGGAGAAAGACTGGCAGCAGTCATAACAAAACTTTCTTTTTTTTTGAGATAGAGTCCTATTCTGTCACCCTGGGTAGAGTGCCGTTGCATCATAGTTGATAGCAACCCCAAACTCTTGGGCTCAGATAATTCTGTCTCAGTTTCCCAAGTAGCTGGGACTACAGGCACCTGCCACAAGGCCAGGCTAGGTTTTCTATTTTTAGTATAGATGGGGTCTTGCTCTTGCTGAGGCTGGTCTCAAACTCTTGAGCTCAAGCGATCTACCCGTGTCAGCCTTCCAGAGTGCTAGGATTATAGGTGTGAGCCACCATGCCCAGCCCCCAAATATTAACTTTTTTGAAACATAAAAGGTAAAATAAACATGTGGATCAGCATCCAAGGCTCAGGGTTAAAGGTAAGAGCCTCCAGCTCTTTGCTAACTTGAGTGATCCAGGAGGATGAGAAATTTTAGTTATTATTTTCTTTTTAAAAATCTGTACTGGCTCGGCGCCTA